TTTCAAAATTTCAATATATTTGAATTTCGATATTTTAAAAACATTTTAAAATTTCAATATTTTTTTATTTTTAATATTTTTTAAATTATTCTTTTCAATTTTCTACCATTTTTCAATTATTAAGTTGTCGATTTCTATATTAACAATTTTAAAATCATCTGAATATTCACAAATATATTTAAATTAATTTATAAATCTACACAAATATTTCAAAAAACACAAATTTCATTTCCTCAATCCCAAAAATGCGCCTTAAAACCTTCAAAAACTGCAAAAACTCCAAAACTCATTCCTCATCTTGTGGGATATTCTTCTTAAAATATTAATTGTATTATGGGAAATTGAACAATGTATAGCTTTGGTTCTCTTGATCGAACATAAGAAAATGATGCTCGATATTGACAATTGAAATCAAGAATCAATTGAATCCATTTTACGCCTTATTGAATCACGATTGTTCCACTGGAAATAAAAATTACATCTTCTCATTATTCTACAAATTGTTAAGAATACTACACGATTTTGCCAATCTTATTTCATCCAATTCAAATCCACAATATTAAGAGATTTACTGGGAACAAAAAAAAAATTGAAACTTTTTTGTGAGTGTTTGAATAAACAGCATTTAAATTTAAAGAAGAAAAAAAATATTTTGAAGTCAAATGTCTGTCAATTGACAGAAGTAATCTTTGAGTGCTTTACAAAATCTCCTTCAAATTAGAACAGGCATGGGATACAGAAAATAAAATACAAATTTATCTTCCACATGATTTAACAACAATTTTTTTTATTTGTTCCCTGTGTGCTTCTTTCTTCCACTCACATTGCAATGTAATTGAACGTGCAATTTATAAACTACCTATTTTTAACCCATAATTGGGTTTTCAGCTCAATGCAATCTCTTTTTTTATTGATTTAAATAAAGTTTTTTTTAAAATGATTTCTCAGGATACTTGTGATGTTGCGCATGCTGGGTATGATGTTGACTGTAGAGTTTTGTGAAAATATTTTCTGTGAAGTTTGCAGAAATATTGATGTGAAAAGTATTGGGAAAATTTCAAGCAGTTAATGAGAATGTCATTTAAAGGATGTTTATCAGTTTATTCCAATTTTCGGTCAAAATGAGACAACTAGAGATTTTAGGCGGGAAATGCTCAAAAAACGCAGAACTCTCCCGCTCAAAAGTGCGCAGTTTCACAGCCTAGTCATATCAATCGTCAATCACAAGTTTAAAGTGGGGGAAGGGGGGGGGGGGGGTGTTTTCACATGAAATAAAAAAATTAATAATTATAGCACAAAGACATTATTTTATGCTTCAAAAATGTTTGATCGACCAATAACTCGATAGAACTGAGCTAATTAAAAAAAAATCCAAACTCTTTACGATGTTAGGTTAAGTCCTTGCCAACGAACGACCGAACGAACAAACGACCGAACGAACAAAGTGCATTATTGAGCTACTTTTTTGAAACTAGTTTCAAAAGTGTGTTTAAAAAACGTTAAAAAAAGGGTTTTGACTCTAATCCCATCCCCTCCACCCCCCTTTTTTGGCTAGCATGTACTTACTTTTATATTCAAAACTTTAATTTGGTAGTTTCTCAGAGTCAACACAAGCTTGTTTTATCTTTGAAGTTAAAATCAATTAAAGTTAATCATCTGCAATAGGTTTGAATCCTAAATTTACATTAAAATATGTTTTTATTGTGTGGTCTTCTGCTTTTTCTTTTTGCCATGTCCTGAGATACAAATCCCAACCTAAACCCCTAATTGCCTGAAAATATTAATCTACTGAACTGAATGACATCATCAGCTCAATTTTCTAATTCTTTATTGTCACACTTTTATTTTCCCACTTAAATCACATTATTCTTCTTATTTAACTCAAATTTTTCTCAATTAAGTCACTCATTTATCAATTCCATCATCATAATAATGCATATATAAAGAAATTTATCATAAACACGATTAAACTGAATAGTTTGTGAAAAGAAAATTGCAAGCACAGACTTAAAACTTCATCACGATGACTTCATACAAATTTTTAACATGTTTGCGACACATAATACTCCATTAATTTAATCTCATTACTCGTTAAAAGAAGCTCTAAGTAGATGTGAAATAAGAACTTTTATTTATTTTTTTATAGACCTGAACTGAATACGAAGTGAGATAAAGAGTGAAAACAATTTAAATTTAAAGACTTCTACATTTCAATCTATTTTCATTTTTCAAGACTAACAAAGTGTCACATCTAGCATGTCAATTATCATTAAAGAGATAAATCATCGCATTCAAGACGCAAATTCGTTGACACTTTTATTTTTTGCCTGTAAACTTCGCGAATAAAGGTAGTTTTGGAAGTGGTTATTTGAAGGAACAATAGCGTTTTTGAGGGTCCTTAATTGAATATCTGATTCAAAGAAGGAATTAAGTTTACAAACTTAAACATGTAAGCAACGGACAGCTAAACAAGCAGACAAATCAGAATATTAACTGAAATATGCACGATCGACACACATTGAACTGTTTGTTCCCCCGGCGGGCAGGTTGATAGTATAAGCAAAGCCAAGCAGCAGCCGCTTGTGAAGTCATTTCCAACTGGACATCAAACAAACGACATTAACAATTGCCTGCAGCTTGGTTCTAATTAAACTATCAACTCAGCCGCTGGGTGGCAAAGATTTCAATGAATTTCAATGTGTGCCGATCAGGATGGACAGTAAACCGTACCAAGAATTTGATCTAGAGCTACTATGAGCTCTTAATCCCAATGTAGAAACCCTATTCATTTCTGTCTTGGTATGTCTAGTCTCACAGGAACAGCAAAGATGCCTCATGTCCAAAAAATAAATATTCATCATTTTGCACCTTACAATGCCTTGCTTAGCTCATTTAGAACTCCAGGCAATCAAAAAAAAACAGCTGCAATTGGACAATCAGACAAAACATCGACAACAACTGCTAAAAAAGTGAGCTTAAAAAAATTACATAAAAGGAATTTATCTCAAAAACTTTTATTTTTTATGACTTTATGCTGATTCTGTTGATATGTAATCAAACGATTATCCAATTGATGAGAACTATATTGTGTACAAAAACATTTCTTTTAATATCATAATACATCATCGTATTAAAATTGAATTGAAATAAAGTATGTATCATGTGAGAAAACTGTGAACCGAGGAGGCATGCATTGTTGGATATAATTGAATGCGATTTATGTGCGATTTTCAGCATAAGTTTATGAATCGTCAGACGTAATATGTCTCAAATTTGACATCGTCTTAAGTGTCCACATATGGATGAAATGATAATAATGATCGTTGTGACATAAATTTTCATGTCATAAAAAAGAAATTGGATGAGGAAAGTTGCTTTTAGGGTCTGAAAAATTGGTGTGAAGATTTGATGATTTGATGATGGGTGGAGCGCAGTTTTTTTGAGGGTTTGGTGATTATTTTGTAATACAAAGTTTTGAATATTATGAAAATTGGGTGTTGTGACTTTGATGATTTGTAATAAAAATTGTTTAATTTTAAGCTAGTCCGATTTTTTGAAGGATAAAACCTGATAGACTTGCAAAAACCTGAGCAGCTGCTGAGGGGTCGTTCACTTATAACTTCAAACAAAAAACATGATTTTTAGACCTTCCTTCTTCCTCTGGCACAAAATTTATGTGAAATAGACTTCCTTTGATTGAGCTGTAACAAAATCCTAGACCCTTCCTCGCCTAAATGTTGGACGTAATAATTGAACGATCCCTGAACCCTCAAATTTTTTTAAATGAAATTTGAAAGTAGTTCTTTTCATGGTTGAAAAACTGATCTTTGAATGGTCATTAATAACACCATTGCATCCATGATATGTTACGGGGATTGAGACATCGTTATCAAAGAGTTTCGAACCTTTGACTTTCCGTCTTATTTTACTCTGGGATATAAATACAATTTTGATTAGTTTTTGACTTAAGTTTATTAGTAATATATTCAAAGAACTGACGAATTGCGACTTAATTCTTGTTTTTAATAATCACACAGGACTGCAACAATTGTCTAGTTGCTGCTCATAGTATCACTTTACAAAAGTGTAGCATATTGGTTCCATTAGAGAAAGAACAGAGAAGGAAGAGGGGGGGGGGGGGGGGGAGTGCTTGCTATATTATCCGAAATTGAAAAAAAATTTTGAATTAAGAAATCAATTAATCAATAAGCTACACCAGTGAGGCCCAGCTTTGGTAGTAAGTCATGACCGAAACCATACACGTGACAAGGTTCGTGGTCTTTGTCGGATTTTTTGGCACACTAGTATGCCGCAGCACATGAGTTGGCCATCACTGAGCTACATTAATAAAATCCTATTCAGTATCTATGCATTCATGCATCTATGCTTCGATCAAACATAACTGAGCATTGTGAAGAAAAAATCACTCAAAACATTTCTTCCATCCAGTCAGACAGCCAGTCATCCAATTTAAGCACCCAAACAAATTACATCTTAAATGACACACTCATAAAAATCATTAAATATTACTCAGTACACAAAAAATGCTCATTTCTTTCTCCCCCGTTCAAAAAATAAATAAAGTAAGAACTTCTTCTCAGTCAGCACAAAACAAAAATAAATTTAATATTTTGAGGAACGAAAGACGATTTCAATTGAATAATTTTCCTGCGACGCGTATAAATAAATTTGCTTGATTAACGTAAGAAATTGTTGTAAATAGTGTCAAGCTCCACATATTATGGTTATAATTCAGTGACTAGAACTCCCAAAAATAAATTTTATAATCAAGATTAAAACTTTTTTTGTTGTTTATGTCAGCAATAAAGGCATACAAATTACTGAAAAATATTTACTCAGTCTCGAGAAATTAAATTGTTTTATGTCGCAAATTATCTGGACGAAGGAATGCCTGAAAGTCATCATAAATAAATAAATAAATTTAAATTTTAAATAAAATTTATTTTTATTAGATTTGATAATAAAAATTTTTTTAAGCAGCTTTTTGAATAAAAATTATAACATTCTAAGAACTTTCATTCATTAACTATACATTTAGGTTATCTACATATACAGAAGGTCGATTCATTTAGAAAATGAATTTTAAATTAATGTTGCACCAAAGACAAATTATCACAAAATTTTAACAAACATATTTTCTCTTCCATTATCGAACGTTTACGCCCAACATGTCACTGGAGTATTAAATAGAGCCTCACATTGTTCATAAATAAGCACAATAATAGAATTTTCCTCTGCTTACACTAACTGTGTCGTGAAACAACGGTTATTGGCTTAAATACCGTCGGCGTGATTGGTGAATGTTGAGATGAAGGCGAATGGTGAGGTGATGAAGTTTCATGATGTGGACTAAGTCTCTGTTGTTGTTGTTGTTGCTGATGCTGCTGTTGTTGATGATGTAAATGTGCTGCAACTTGTTGTTGCTGTTGTTGAACGGCAGCTGCATGATGTTGAAGAATTTGTTGATATTGCAATCTTTGGTAAAGTTCAGCAGATGGATTTGGTGAGTTTGTTGATGCTCCAAGGAATCGTTCCATTCCAAAGCCGGAAGCAAGTGGTAAGCCAAGAGGTAAGGAAGTAGGTTTTGGTGCCATTTGTGGTGCATATGGACTATATCTATACATTTGAGCGAGTGCAGCTGCTGGTGATGGATATAAAAATGGTGAGTATCCTAATGATGGGAACATTGGACCAACAAGTGATCGTTTAAATGCTGCTAATCGTGATCTTGATGCAGCTGTTGAACGACGTCTTAATTTGCCTGTTGATCCACCAATAAATACATCTTCAGATGATGGATCCAACATCCAATAATTTCCTTTGCCTGGATCATCATAATGTCTCGGTACTTTTACAAAGCATTTATTCAGACTCAAATTGTGACGGATTGAATTTTGCCAGCCTAATTTGGACAAAAAAAAATATTTTATTAGTCAACTTGAAATAAATATTTAAAAGAATTACACAAAAAATAAATAAGGAAGATAATAAGGAAGTGGAAGTGGAAATGGTACACACCTTGTTTATTATTTCGATAATAAGGAAAATTCGTCATAATATATTCGTAAATTCCATTGAGAGTCAGTCTTTTTTCAGGACTTTGTCGGATAGCGAGCATAATGAGTGCATTATATGAATAGCTTGGCTTCTCATTTGATTTCTTGCCGCTGTCTTTTTTTTCTCCTTCATTGGTGCTACTAGTTTCACAGTCTTCTAATGATTTATCCTTATTGCTACATGTCTCAATGCTATCATTTGTATTATTTCCACAGAAATCATTCTCTTGTGGTGGTGGAGTTCCTGTCACATCTAAATCTGATTCTGTATCTGTAAGATCTTCAGGTTCTGATCCGAGTGGTGTATGACATGGTGATGGTGATTGTGATGGAGATGTCTTCATTGTCTCCGGTAAAATGGAACTAATTGAGAAACTTGATTTGAGTGGAGTGCGAGCCGTTAAGGCAAACATTGTTTCACTATTTAAATTCATCATGTTCATATTTAATCTTGGATAGTCAGCTTTAACCATATTTTTCATCCAAATTTCTTGTTTTTTTATTATTTCTCACTTTTCATTAATTTTTTTAATATTCTTAATTTTTTTTATTCACACTTCACAAAATGTTCTTTTTTTTCAAATTTTATTTTTTTTTAAATTTCCAAAAAAAATTGTTTAAGGCAAGAGCAGTTCTTGAGGAGCGTGCAATCGTTTCGAAATCTAACTCACAACTGGTTTTCTCATTTCCCTCACACATTCGTTATAAGTAAAATATGAAGAAGAAAACATTTCGAGTCATTCATGCTACCTGCTTGCCTGCCTCTCACATATAACAGACCAATCGACGATTTGTTTATGTTTGCACCAATACATGAAATGTGTTTACTCACAAAACAATAAATAAACAAGAGTTGAGCTGTTGAGCATCGATGTTTACATTAAACACCACCACTTTGTAGCTCATTCCTCTTCTTCCTCAATTTTTTTCCCTCTTTTTCTCTTGTATTTGTGTCTTTATAGTCGTTCTACACATTCGCGCAATTCACAAAACTTTTCCTAGATTTTCTTGTCGCAAATTTAAATTTTCCTGAATTTTTCTCAATTAATAAATGAAAATTGCATCACATTCATGAATTAATAGACATTGAGAGAGTGAGAGAGAATAAGACATTGAATTTTAAGCACCGCCTTTATTGAGAATGTATTGGTTACATGATATGCTCACAATGCAGGCACGAAAAGAGAAGAAAAAAATTGTTTTGTTGGTAAAATAAGATCGACGAAGTTTGTAAACGTTGATGAGGCAAGCGGAATGTTGATATACAATATTTTCATCCATAGTTGGAAACTTGGCAAAATAAGTATTTTGTTGACAAATCCATTATCGATGTGTGCATGCCATGCGTATGTGAATGTCTCAATCAGATCATTTTTTGATAATGAATTATGAAAAAATCAATTCTCATTAATTTAAAGTCATTTTCAGGTACAATTGCTGCTGTTGCTGAATATTCGTTATTTATTTGTTATTAAAATCAATCAATTTTCCTAGAAAGACATCCTCAACTCGCATCGATTGAGAAAAAAAATATGATTTTTAGTACCTAATTTAATTTTATTATCAGCCATAAAATAAAGTCACACGACGAAACAGGAGAAAAGTCAAAAACTATGTCTATTGATTTATTTTTCCAGTTCAGCTCAGGTAGGATGAATTTCTGAGAATTAATCGATTTTTTTGGCAACGACTCCAAATTATAGGATGCAATTAAACCACCCAGGAATTAATTTTTGTTTTCGTCCGAAGACGTCCCTTTTTGCTAGTTCTTTCCAAAACATCTACATTATTGATTTTTTTGGAGTTAAAATAGATTTTTGAGAAAAAAAACTCAAATAGAAAATAATCATCATTCATTACCGTGAAAATCGCAATTTTCAACACGACTGAGACCTCCTAGAATGCTAGGCATACAAATGGAGACATGCTAAAAAGGATATCTTCTTTCAAAAAAAATTGAAAGTCCTTTCAAGTCCATGATTGAAGAAAGGGAGCGTAGAAAATTTCTTGTGAAGAAATTTTTGCTTTGAATCATTTTTTTTTGCTGTGGCATTTTGAATATTGCTACCTAAAAACAAAAGAAATAAATATGTTGTGAATGGCAAATGAGCATGCATGCATGTGTTTACTGAGAAATTCAGTCATCCAAAACAAAGGCTAACTTGGTCTCTTTTGGTTGAATAAAGCGCATTAAATAATCAAATTTTAATTTTAAACCTCACTTTCCTCAAGATTGAGCTCTATTGACATCGTATTGGCATTGCTCACTGATATTTAAGGCACAATCTACGTCTACCATTCAGAAGAAGCCACATTTAAAGAGCATATACCGACTAGATCCGACCAATCACACTCAATTTAATTAGAAACGCTGCATCAAAATTAGATCAATCTGAACAAAGAGTTTGGCAAGCAGGCAGACAAATCATGAAAATTACCAACTCCTTCTTTCTGTAAAATGCTTGAGCAAAAACAATTCTGAGAAATAAAACATGAAGGAATTTATTTTTCAGTAGCACAATCACGTTAAAGCGTGCTGCATTTTATAATCTTGAATCGTCTCAATTATGAAGTTTAAAACAGCATGAGAAGAAAGGGTTAAGCTAGGAGCAAAATATTGGTTAGGCTCTCATTAATAGACCTGAAATTTGCTGTAAGAACAATAAAATATTTTGATTTTATTACAGGGATTATGATGGTCATAACTTAAAGTAGAAATATCCACAATGAATGCTAATCCGTTCTCCACCCATCGCATCGATACGAGAAATATTTATCCTTTTTAAGATCATTTTAGAAAATTTGCTTTGGTTTTCATGGAAAATATTTGTTGCTAATTGCATTTGCATTAACCCAATTTTAGCATTGATTCTGCCTTGTTTTTAATACATTATATGGATATTTGTCTTTTCGCCCCTTATAACATGATTGTTTCGCTTAAGGAATAAAGCAAAGAACATTCCGAAAATGCTAAGCCGATTGCCACAAATGTCCAAAATGAAATTATAAAAAAGCTTGAGCTTGATTTCCGAGAATATATTTTTACACACAGGAAAGTGAAGAACAGAGCCAAGAATAAAAGCCGATTAGAAGCTGTAAGGTGCGTGATAAATTCTATATTTAAAAGGATCAACGAATTTGGTCTCAAAACTGATGGCAATTGGTCTTAAAAGGTGCAAAATCTTTATCATTTATGCTGTTGTCATTGTGCCTAAAATATCAATGTCATAAAGTTTATTTTTTGGTTAAATTTACACAATAGTCGGCAAATAATAGTTAAATGAATATTTTTCAATAGCTTCAAAGCCCCTGAGAATGATTTTATGAGACTTTTTTTGATGGTTTCGCAATTCTCAGGTCAGAAAATTTTGAATTCTTCTATGGTTGGGACCACTTAATGTGCATCTACTTTAAATATGTTTTATGGATGCATACTTTAGTGATACAGAATGACAGTTGACCGATAGATTTAGAATACTTTTTTTGGTTTTTCCGATATTCTCAGAAATGATTCAATAAAATGTTAATTTGTCTCAATTGAGAAGTTTAATAAGTTTTGATAGATTTAATTCAATTGAGGAAGAGTTGTATGAATAATTGACAGTAATGTATGTACAATTTAAAATTCAAGAAATTGTAATTTGTATTATTGTTTATCAAATTTAATAAGATCATGACACATTTTAGATATTTGATAAGTTTTGTTTATTACTGCGGATTTTTTTGGATAATAATGACTAAGGTCGTTCACTTAGGACTTATGAAAATTAACGGTCGTTTTTCAAAAAAGAACAATTGATTTCCAGCAATTTATTTTGTTCTTTTCTTGCAGCTGCCCCCCCCCCCCCCCCTTCTCTCTGGACGTTATAAGTAAACGGCCTTCTATAGATTTTTGAATTTTTTTCCTCACTGAAAGAATAATATTTTTAAATAATCAATTTTTTAAAATCTTAAGTATTAGTGGTGTAGTATCTAAACTAAGAGGAATTTAGGGTATAAAGGTATATAAAGGCGAATCTGCCAAGGGATGAGTAAGGCCTCTGTAGCACGAGTGGTTAGGCAACAGACCGAATTTCTTTAAACCACTTTTGTGATTATTCGTGAGTTCGACTTCCACCAGAGACCGATCTCTCTCAATCATTAAATAGAATGTTGTCGATATGATGAGGATTCGCACAATACCCACGAAATTTCAACTAAGAGCTATTATTTCAAAAAATAAATTAATATCAAATATGTTTTTAGTTGCTGAAGATTATTTACAAATATTAAAATTGATTAGATTCTCAAGCACGTTCTACTTTGAGTTCTTACTCGATTGCTGCAAAACAGATCCAAAATTCCTTCCAAAATCACATCTAAGGGAACAAAATCTTCAGAAAAGCTAATAATAATAAATAGTCATGCAAAAAAAAGAAAAAAAAATTAAAAACGATGCAATCGACAACAGAAAAAAAATGAGAAGCTGCTTTCTATTTATTATTATAAAAATAAGAAGCATAAAGCAAAGCAAGAAAAATTTTCTTTTTTTCGGCTCTTTTAAAACGCAAAAATGTTAAGTAAACAACAACAATAAGATTTGGGGATAAAAAAAAATAAAGTCATCATCGATTCCTTTTGAACAGCATATAGAAAATTTGTTTTCTCAAATAAATTGATTTTTTGTTGCCATTCTTCTTTGTTTTCTTTTCTTTCGGTTTCCATTGCTAAAAAAACTGAAAAAAAAGTCATTTTCGGAAATTTATTTATTTTTAAAAGAAATTAAAGAATAAAATTTTCTAAATGCGGTAATCGCTTTGATCACATCAAGGAACACAAAAAGGACTTGTTGTGGCTGTTGACAGAAATTAACTTCATTTCTTGTGATGAGTATCCATTTATTATAAACTCAATCGATAGCTTAATTGATAGAAATTTTGATATAAAACTTGAAGCAACTTGATGGAAGTTTTCAGAAGCAATATTTGAATTTAGGACACAGCGTGATACATGTTAAGTCAATTTACAGACAAGCCAGGTGCAAATAAACTCAACGATTGATAAACAATAGCTCGTTATTTGTTAATATATCACTTTTTTTTGGAAATTTACAGCATAAGCCAAAAACTGAGGCTCCTAATGAATACATCAACAGTCTTCTGTGTCTGCTGCTTTTTTTCTGTTGAAAAGTCTTTTGTTATATCTTCGACAAAATCGACTTAGCAGGAGGTGTGACTTTTATCAAATAGTACCGATATATGCATGCACATTTCCTCTTTATAAATAACAATGTAGAAAAGTTTGCAGCACAATAGTTAATGTGACTAAATAGAAGGCAATTCTTGTCATCAGCTTCATGCAATTCTTGTTGCTGATTCTTCTTTTAATGTTGCAAAAAGTCAAAAGAGATGAATTTTCGGATTATTTTCATCTTTTTGTATAAAATATGTGTCAATTTGTGAATATGCATTGAGGTGTGTCCTTAAAAATCTTTTAAATAAATTATATTCTTGAATATTAAAGATTGCAGCTTACTGACTTCATATGTTGTGAAACTGGATAAATGAA